GCCTGCTGCCCAGCTCCCAACCCCACACGAGGTGTCAGAGGGCCTGGTCCTGGTGAGTTGCAAAGCTCCAGTCCAGCAGTTCGACACTGCATTGTCTGCAAATGGAGAAAATGAAGATTTGCTAAAATTAAAGATTGATGAGACATTCCCGAACCGGCCAAAGAGCTTCTGTCCATGCAACCTTCTGAAATTCTTGCAAGTCCACAGTTGTGCTTCTGCTGGGCCTGCTTGCTCATGGCCAGCAGCAGACCTGGTAGGCAGGCTGCATGCAGATGGACGCAGACAGGGCGGGGCCTCTCTTTCACTGGCTGAGCCAGTGCCCACGCCACTCCACAGTCTTCAGACGCCACTCGGCAGCCACACCTCCAGCCTGTGGAAGGAGGTGGCCATGTCAGAGAGAGCTTGGTTATCGGAAGAAGAAAGCTTGAGAAAAACAAAACCACAGGGAGTAAAGGAACTTGAGCAGGAGAGAGGACCGGGGGTGAAATGGCAGCAGGTCCACCAGGAAGCCTATTCTGCACCTAAAACCTGGTCCTGAGGCCTGTTTTTGCTTCTCAAACAGCATACCTGGCAAAGCTGGAGGAAGAGGCATGGAGTTGCTGGTAAACCTGTGACACTGTGTGAAGATACCTGTAAACACAGCATCAGCCCTTGGATGCCTCAGTAACCAGAAAACCAGGGAGTTAGTCTCTGCAGGGCTTCAGAGTTGCCTTTTTATCCTTATCTTTTTCTAAAGGTCAATGATTTGTTAGATGAGTAAGCAAGATTCTACTCTTGTGCCTGTCTGATTTCAATAGAATGAAACTTGAAGAATGGCTTTTGTTCACTGCTCATTTGTTTAAGTGTTTCCAGTTTCCTCAAAGTTTGTTGTTGTTGGGCCTCTCCGGTGGCACAGCGGTTGAGCACCGCACTGCAAAGCTGTCTGCAGACTCTGTGGTGCAGGTTCGATTCCCGACCGGCCTGGGAGAACCCCACATGGCGCAGCATACCTCTCCTGCCTCACCTGCTGCTCCCCTCAGCAGTGCCTTCTCTCTGTCTGCCTATTCTGCTCCCTGCTCTGGCTCTGGTGAATTCTCTCACCCTCCCACGCTTCTGACCTGTACCCCAGTTCTTATATAAAATAAATAAATAAATAAATCTTAAAAAAAAAAGTTTGTTGGACAAAGCAACCTTTCTAGATCAATGCCCTATAAATACAGCCTTCCATGGCAATGACGATCCTTCTGATATCAGCCCCTACAAAATGGATCTTGGATTTTTCAGATGCTTTGAACTTGCCACACAGTCCAGTGATACATCAGAGAACATCAAGGCAAAACACCAACTTGCTAACAAGATCTTTTCCATTTTTTCCTTATTTTACATTTAAAACTAGCTGTTTATGGAAAGAACCCAAATGCCCAAAAATAGATGACTGGATCAAGAAGATGTGGTACATATACACAATGGAATATTACTCAGCAATCAAAAAAGATAAACTCATGTCATTTGCAGCAACATGGATGGAGCTGGAAGGGATCATGCTCAGCGAAATAAGCCAGAAAGAAAAAGAAAAATAGTGGATGGTCTCACTCATAGCAGGAAACCCTTATTTAGAAAACCTAAATAAGGGACCAGGAAAAAGACTAATTATAATAAAGTAAAAATCAAAATCAACAAGCAACTATAAACTGAGACACACTACAGGGCCGGGGAAGGGAAGGAGGGATTAGTGTCAAAATAAGGGGTGGGTAGGAATTGTATGGGGAATACAACCAAGATGAAAAAGCACACATTGTGAAAAAATGAAAAATAATGTAAAAAATATATGAAATAAAATAAAAATAAAACTAGCTGTTGCTCAAGTAAACTTAAAAATAGATTAATTTGTAAATGGCAAAATATGTTTTGAGGTTTCTCTTTCAATAACTTGCTTCCTAAGCCTACTAGGCCACCTCTGAAATGGATCAAGTTTTTTCATTCATTTCACTGAGTTTTAGTTTTGTGTAAAAAACCATTTTCAGGACCAGCTTCCTTTTCTAAGGGTTGCTTCTTATGTTTGATTTTTCCCTGTTTTCATCTTTCACTTGAGGTAGCGGTACAATTTTAGGATATGTAATATTTATGTGAGGCTACAAAGGCTGGTGAGTATGGTGAGTAGTCCTGAATACTGTGTAGATACTATTTTTGTTAAAAAAAAAAAAAAAAACAGAACCCAAGCCCAAGACTGAACTAATGAACACACGTACCGAATGTCTCATCAAAAAGGTTCTGCATTTCTTGTGTGTCAATCTGGTAATAATTTCCCTCATATTATGTTCATGTAGCTGGGTTTGTAATTTTTGTTAACTAGAGAAAGTGGTCAGCATTTGTTGGTTTCAGTGGATGTCAGTTACCCTGAATTGAGTAAAAGCCAAATATATGCATAGAAAAGGGCCTTCCTATTAATGGAAGATGGTGGTTTTAGGAAGTGTGTTCATTTCAGTTTTTGTCTGAAAATGTTTTTAAAATCTCCAAGAAAGAGAAACTGATGAAATTAATCTTTTCATCTATTTTTAATTTTCTGGTTAGAAACACCTAGTGGTTTTATTTATTTTTATTAATTATTTTTTTTCTTATATCAAGGTCCCCAGAGTTCTCCTGCCACCATATCACCTGTGAAACATCATCATATTCCCTTGTGTTTATCGCCCCTCCACCCAGTGTTTTGCGTCCTCTCCTCTTCCCTCCTTTGCCATATGCCTCAGTTTTATGATCAGCTTGCTAGTTTTGACTTTTTCTTGACTGTTTGGTTTCTCTATATTCCACATATAAGTGAGACCATCCAGTATTTATCTTTTTCCTTCTGACTAATTTTGGCTAGCATAATCCCTTCCAGCTCCATCCATGTTGCCACAAATGGCATGAGTTTGTCTTTTTTGATCGCTGAGTAATATTCCATTGTAGAAATATGTAACAGCTTTTGATCCATTTGTCTATTTTGGGACATTTAAGTTGTTTACTTATCTTGACGATTGTAAATAGTGCTGTAATAAACATAGGAGTGCAGGTTTCCTTGTGAATTAGTGTTTTTGTGTCCTTTGGGAAGATTCCTAAGAGTGGAATTGCTAAATCATAAGTTTGATCCACTTTTTGTGTTCCGAGGAGTGTCTGCACAATTTCCGTAGTGGCTGGACCAGTTTTACATTCCCACCGACTCTGTAAGAGGGTTCCTTTATCTCCATATCCTCTCCAGTATTTGTTATTTCTGATTGCTTTAATGTGGGTCATTGCTGAAATGAATCTTTTTTTTTTTTTTTAAAGATTTATTTATTTATTTATACAAGCACTGGGTACAGTCAGAAGCGCGGGAGGGTAAGAGAATTCACCAGAGCCAGAGCGGGGAGCAGAACAGGCAGAAGGACCGAAGTACACTGCTGAGGGGAGCAGCGGGCAGCAGGAGAGGTCTGTGCACCATGTGGGACCCTCCTCCGGTGGCTGGGGAGCAGCCGGGGATCGAACTGGCGCTGCAGAAGCTGCGGGCAGCTTTCCAACCCAGCGCTCAACTGCTGCGCTGCTGGGGAGACCCTGCTGAAATGAATCTTAATGATGTTTTTTTAATGCAGTATATTCAGAATGTTATCCTATTAATATAATCAGTATACAAGTGGTGACTGTTCTATGTCATATTCTTTTTCTAATATGGAGTCTTCAGAATCCAGTGTGCTGTTGCATTTACAGTACATCTTGGATTGGGTCAGCCATACTCAAATTCCCCATAGTCGTGTGAGGCTGGTGGCTTCCATATTGGACTGTGTGAGTTCAGATGGTGACTATAGACCTGACTTAGAGGTCTAGAGCTTCATAGTTTTTCCTTTCTTTCTTTTTTTTTTTTAATTGAGGTAACACCAATTCACAACACTGTGTGAATCAGAAATATAAAATTGCACCTACTACCAAGGCACCGCTAGTCCTCCACCATTCTGGAGTCCATTGGGTCCCCTCCCCAATTTGGTCCCCACCTTCCCCCTCTATAGCCCCAATTCTACAGTCACTTTCTTTTAGGTCTTGCTATTGGTTTGATCCTGTGTTTCTCTATGTTACACATATAAATGACATCATCTGGTGTTTGTGTTTCTACTTCTGAGCTATTTTGTTTAGCATGATCCCCTCTAGTCCCATCCATGTTTGTCACAGGATTCTAGAGCTGAAGAGGAGTTTCCTGAGTGAGCGGCTCACTTGCTAATGGTGCTGACAGGTAAGGTCCTCTATCAAGACCACGCAGCCAGGGAAGGTCTAGTGAGGACTGGACAGCTCCTTCCATGTCATGCCTGTTGCAAGCCACAGAGTAACCACAACTCCATGGTGAAATTGGTGTCATCCCGTCTACTCTGCCATACGTCACACGGGCAACATTTGTTAAAAAAGTAGTTTTGGCCCTAGAAAGAAGAGGAAGTATGAGCAGAGAGGAGATTTTCTTGGGGATAACTTCCTTTTGTGTGCAGGCTGAGCCCTTGGATTCTGACCTCAGAGAAACCTATTCTTCAAGGCCAGGGGATGCTGGTTCACCCATACATTTAACCTTGTATTCATTGTGTCTGATAGATGCAAGGATTGGCTAGCAGGTGGCGCCAGAGACAATTGGTAGCCAGGGAAAGGCTTCCACATCTGGGACCCCTAGCTATAGAGCAGCATTTGGAGCTGGGATGCTGATCAAGTGGGAAACAGGATGTGGAAATGTATTTCATCCTGCAAACATGGGAACTAGGTAATTGGAGAATGTAGTCTTATTGTCTAAAGTAGCAGAAAAATGCTTTCTCTTTAATAAATATCAAAAGTCAATTCCAGACTTGGCCAGGAAAAACAGAGAAAATCCTCAGGGAGATAATTTTGGAAGCTCGATATAAACAAATAATATGAAATATCTCATGGATAAGTTTTATATAGATTTCATGTTGCTGCTAGAACATCCAGAGTGGCATATAATAAGAATTAAAGGAAAACGGGATACCTATTTGAACAGATGTCTATGTTTATTGCAGCATATTGACAAGGGCCAAGAACTCCAAACAAACTAAGTGCCCAATAACAGTTGAGTGGATAAAGAAGATGTGGTCTCTATACTCAGTGGAATACCACTCAGGTATGAAAAAGATGAAATCCTGGTGGAAATCCTGGTGTTTTTTTTTTTTTTTAAAGATTTATTTATTTATTTATACAAGCACTGGTTACAGTCAGAAGTACAGGAGGGTGAGAGAATTCACCAGAGCCAGAGCGGGGAACAGAACAGGTAGACAGTCAAAATACACCGCTGAGGGGAGCAGCGGGCTGCAGGAGAGGTCTGTGCGCCATGTGGGACCCTCACCGGTGGCTGGGGATCGAACCAGCGCTGTAGAGGCTGCGGGCAGCTTCGTAGCCCAGCGCTCAACCGCTGTGCCACCAGGGGAGGCCCAAAATTCTGGTATTTTCAACAACATAAGTAGACATAGAGGGAATTATGTTTAGTGAAATAAACCAGATGGAGAAAGACAAATATCCTATAATTTCCTGCATATGTGGTATATAGAGAGAAAACAAACTAAAAGTAAACTAAGTGAAAGAAAAATAAACTTTTGGACACAAGACCAATTAATGGTTACCAGAGAGAAGAGGCACAAGGGCTGGTAAATTGGGACAAAGGGGGAAATAGTATGATGAAGGATAGAATTGGAATTTTAGCAGTGAATTAATGTAGTGTTGGGTCTTTGATGCTCAGAACCTTATATGATGTTATAATGCAATGTTACTTCAGCTGAAAAAAAGGAAGGAAGGAAAAGAACTAAGAAAAGTGGTAGACAAATACTTTGAAGAGGAAAGACAGGAGCTGGTGCTGACCTAGAGGCTGATGGGGCAGGGGCAGGCACTGCGGGGACATTAGTAGGTGGTCAGGGGTTGTTGTGGGCCATTCTCATAGGCAGAGAGAGGGTCCTGTCCCTGATGTTGCTCATACAGCTGGAATCATCTGATATTTGTCTTTTTCTGCCTAATTTCACTTCATATAATCCCTCTAAATTCCTTCATTTTGTTGCAAGTGGCAGAATTTCCTCTTTCCTCCTAGTATTCTCTTGTATTTTTAAAATTTCCAACTTTGTTGTTAATATGTAGCCCTCTGGATTGTTTGTGGAAGCATCCAGATTTCTAATGATAGTGGAGCTGAGGTCTTTTGGTGGGAACACATGTCTGTCTGCTTTCTTGCCTTTAACTCCCTCCTGGACCTTGGTCTTCAGCTTGGGAGCTGTGGGTCTGTTACTTCTAGGCAGCCTATTCGGCCGCCATTTTGTCACCTAAACAAGGTCAAAGTGGTCCGGCCAGTTAGGAACAGGAGCCCAACCCTTCAGCCCTTCAAATCAAACAAGAGCACACAGTTGGACCACACTGGGAAGGTTGTGCATCAGGAGGTATGTCTGGAACGCCCAGGGGCGCTGAGGACCCATGCATAACATGTACCTCACGAGGTATGTCTGGAATGCCCAGGGTGCTGAGGACCGATGCATAACACATACTCCCGACTTACACATCACGAGGTATGACCAGGAATCCCGGGGCGGGGGGGGGGGGGGGCTGAGCACTGATGTATGACAAGGGACCCCAGAAGCTGATCAGTAGAGTGCCTTGTTGATAAGATTAGAACCATGGGGGGTGGGGGATTAAGGTGTGTCATCAAGTAGATAAGAAGTGCCTGGAGGGCAGACTCACAATCCCTAATCTTCTACACCTTTCCCCTTTCTTTAAACTCCTTAATCTCCTTACAACCAATTACTTGTGTCAATAAAAGGGCCAGGATCTTGCTCTTCAGCATCATCCTGCATTATATAGCCTGCTCCACGACTCCTGTTTGTCAGTGTGGTGTTGTCCGACGCAACAGGGAGACTTGAACTTGTAGGAGAAGCACCGTTTTACCTAACGTGTCTTAAGGATTTGGGCTTGGAACAGGAGAAAAGCATACAAATGCACTTAGTAGGAGCTTTACATGACATGGGGGTGCACTCATGGGGGAATGAAGATGCAGCATCCTGTGTTCTTGTGCCAGCTTGCACAGGGAGGGAGTGCAGGGAGGCACAGGGAGAGCAGAATGATTTTAACAAGGTGTGTTGCTATGGAATTCTTTTGGCAACGATTCTCTGTTGAAAAATGTTTCTTTCCTCCTGGTCGAGGGAGGGCATCTTTCACAATTTTTTATCTCCTGTTTTCAGGAAGAAAGTGGAAGATTAGAAAATGCCCTTCTTGTACTTGCTTTTTAAAGCGCCTCTTGCTCAAATAATCCCAGGCCAAAGGGGCGTGTTTTGGGGTGGTGTAACCATTTGTCCAGCACGATGAGATTTTTGTTTTCTGTGAGCAGAGGAGTTAAGAGAACAAGTGTATGTGTTTACAGATATATAAGAAACTTTTATTGTTTAAACCAGAACTGAGAAAGGCCAAGTCAATCTGTGAAAATCTTCCCATATGAAGACCCAGGGGGAGAAAATATGTAATGTAACGGCCGAGACTCTTGAAATAAACCTCCCAAGGAGCAGAAGCAAAATTTAGGAGATGTTTTATCCTGAGTAAGATTAAAGAGGGCTTCTGCAGTGAAAAGAAAGATCACATGATGAAACTTGCAACCAGAATTGTTGATTGAAACAGGGAAAGTTGCCGCAGGATCTGGCTCAGGATGGCGGCTTATATTTTAGAAACTTCCCTGAAAACAGAGCAAGCTGATGAGGATGAAAAGAGGGGGGAGGCACAGCAGTCAGAGATGACAGGTACACCCTACAAACAACAGGGATTTTGGAAGAAAGAACCAGAGCAAACAGAATATTTGCCCAGTTGAAGGAGCAACGGAAAGAAACCTCAAAACTGAAAACCTCTTGAAATGGAAAATGTTTCTCCAGGTTTTTCAGGCAAACCTTAAACAGAATCTCTGCCAAGACAGATCCTGCACAGATTTTAAATTCCAGGAGTGAAATGCTACAAGTCTCCAATCAGAAAATTAGAGAAAACGAAACAAAAAGCTCATAAAAAAAAGGGCATCAAAGAACATAAATCAAGTTAGTTGCAGCTTTTTTTTGTTGTTTAAGTAACTACTATCAGGAGAATGGCACACCCACAGGGATAATTCAGCTGTGACTCAAGAATTTTAAACCCAGAGAAGATGGCGTTCTTTGACCAAAGTATCCAAAGGAAGTAGGAAAATCTCAGAAAGAATTCCTTTTGTGCCAGTCACTTCCAAATAACTCCTTTCATGGAAAGTAACCCTAAATGCTGTACACCACAAAGAGTTAAACCAGAAACAATGGACAAATGAGAAAGTTGCAGAAGGGAAAATGCAGCAGCAACACGGCAGTTAACTAAAGAACTGGCGAAGGGAAGGAGCAAAACACTAGCAAGGTCAGAAATGTGCCCCAGCCCTTGCTTGTCACTGCATGTAGGAAGCAGCATGAGTGGCGCAAACCCTCCTTGCACAGAGGGGACACTTGTGCATCCAGGACAATTCATTCTTCAGACTTTTTTTTTTTTTTTAAAGATTTACTTATTTATTTATACAAGCACTGGGTATAGTCAGAAGTGTGGGAGGGTGAGAGGATTCATCAGAGCCAGGGCAGGGAACAGAACAGGCAGACTGACGAAATACACTGCTGAGGGGAGTAGCGGGCGTGGCAGGGGAGGTCTGCGTGCCATGTGGGGCCCTCGCTGGCGGCCGGGGATCGAACCAGTGCTGCAGAGGCTGCAGGCAGCTCCCCAGCCCAGTGTTCAACTGCTGCGCCCCCAGGGGAGGCCCCATTCTTAAGACTTTGAATAGCATGGAAGACGGCCGCCTGGCAACCATGTGGGTTCTCAGCAACATCCCAAGCAAACACTGGGAACTCACAGCGACAGGAACACTGAAGGCCTCCTTCCTGCACTTTCTCCTCTTGGGGACTAATTCAGAATGGACTTTTCTCACTGCATTTGTACCTGCAAGGGCTCAGCGCCCATCTATCAATCTTGCTTAGATGAAGATGACTCTGATCCCCGTCTTTGGCGAAATTAAATCAGGAGACAGGCAGTGTTACGTTGTTACTTATATTTAAAAGTCTATCCTTTGACCCAAAGTGACAAGTATGGAACCAGGAGTCACGCACCACGTTTGCGAAGCATGTGTGTCCTTTGGGCGTTGGGCTGGAAATTCCCACATCAGTAACCAACTGCACGAAGGATTTCCACGGCGGACATCTCCCGACTCTGTAGGGTTTTGTAGCCTCTGGACTCACGGTGGAGAATGTGTCTGCTCAGCATGCCCGCACCTGGCCTGTGCCGCTCTTGTGTCCCGGGAATAGCATTGATTCCCGATGTCAGCCAGCGGTGTTCCTTTCCTTTCCTCTTTTTTGTTTTTGTTTTCACTTTTTAAAGCAGAATACAAATACATCTGTTTAGAACAGTGCTCTCGATTGATTTTCTCTTTGCTAGTTATAAAATCTTAGGCTCCTAGACAGATTTGGAAGAGATGTCAGAGTTATCAGACTTAAGTCCCAGCTGAGACAGAACCTGTTTTGTTTTGTTTTTTAAGATTTATTTATTTATGCATACATGAACTGGGGTACAGGCCAGAGGTGTCGGGGATGAGAGGATTCACCAGGGACAGAGTGGGGAACAGAACAGGCAGATGGACTGAAATACACTGCTGAGGGGAGCAGCAGGAGAGTCAGGAGAGTTCTACTGCACCATGTGGGTAGTTCCCTGGCCTGCTGGGGATTGAACTTGTGCTGCAGTGGCTGTGGACAGCTTCATAGGTTGTGTCTTAACCCCTTGTGCCACCAGGGAGGCCCTCCTCCAGAATCTGTTCAGCGCCTTCCTTGTTCCTCTCCACAGCTGAGAAGCTCACTCCCTTGGGTTGGATGACTCATTAAGGAGAACTCTCCCCCAGCCCTTGCATGTAAGTGACCCTGGTGTCCTCATGTGGTCCTCCAAGTCTGAAAGGGGCCTCTTTGTCCTTCTAGGTGACAAGGGTCACCACCCCACTGATGATAAAGAATGTTTCTCACTGCAGCTATATTCAGGCAACTCTGATAAGTATGCAGGTTGAATGCACACAGTGAACTAAAATGCAGTTTCCCTGGTGATGCTTTCTCTAGGCCAGTGACTGCA